TTCACGACCGAGATGCGAACCCAAACCTCATAATGAGGGACGGAGTACCAATGTTTCTTATTCCTAACAAGCAGTATGTGCGTGTAAACAACGCCGTTTTCCCAGAGGAGGTTGTTTCTGTGAGATCTATTTGCTGAGAACCTATCGTTATTCTTAGTAAGTGCCTTGCTTTGGATTGTAACTGCATTAGAGCAACAAGCTGGCTGTACTCTAGACGCGCTCGCTGTGGTCACGTCCGTTACAAGCCGCAGGGCCTAATTATCCCGCAACTTGCTTGTCATTTGTTCGTCTCTCGCTAAATTGTTGCCTCTAGGGGTCCAGAAAGAAACAGCGTTACGAGCATTTGTGTCACCATTTTGCTGCGTCTTTCCAGCGTAACATCTCGCAGTTTTGATACGACGATAGTAAACAGTAACAAGTCTATAATTCAATTTTCCTCTCAATTAATGTAATAGAACAACATTAATAACACATTTCCATATTTGCTGTTTGTGTTGATCTAGAAAGGCGACAATTATTGATTTGTAACTATTGTTGGAAAAGTGTTTAGTTTTTGATTGTGTAGGAGTAAATGATTGGGATCACATTAGTCCCAGAATCACCCAAGACGCAACAATGCTCTCACATAACATTATTGCAACAACGACCTACGTGTTGTGGAGTGAACAGCACCTTTGAAATGTCAGTGTACTCCAAGCAATACACCTTTTCAATCTTATTTTGCATGTCTGAGTTTAGAGCAGGGACAATGTTTTACAACCCCTAGCACAAAACACTTGCTGCATTCTCCTCTTTATCGGAGAAACACAGTCCGCGTGAGGTAGAATATTCCCCCTGCGTAAGTCACAGTTTTACTCACCGAAGAGAACTCCATGACCTTGAGTACCCAGAGGGTGAGTGCCAGGTTCACGATTACCATGACCAGGAGTCCCAGTATCAGCAGGTACAGGCATCTCTTCCGCCAGCCGTAGATCCCCACCTTGAAGTTGTACGACGAACTGTGGCACGCCGTGTCCTCCACCCAGTCAGAGGCAAGGGACCCGCCTCGCAGCATCCTGTAGACAAGTCCACTTATGCTAGGCGTGATCAAGGACATGCACTACGCCTGGGTGATACAAGAAATGCTTGCAAAATCTTAGCCGAGAAACCTGAGCGGAAGAAACCATGTCTATGTAAGATTTGAGGTTTCCACAGCGGTGAGTATGAAGATTTCTGTCTTCTGGGTTGTTGCGCTGTGTAGTCTGGTCGATGTTAACAAACTCTTCCCATTGGCTCGGGGCAGGCTACTCCATTCACGGCCCGGCTCCTATAAACCTAGCCCCACACACCCTATTGGCATATGTATCGCCCTGATGACGGAGGCAGTATGACCTCTGAAACATTGGGAAACATCGACCAGACTACACAGCGCAACAACCCAGAAGACAGAAATCTTCAAACCATGTCTAGTTACAAAGAAAACAAAACCATGGATTTTAGGAAATAGACAGTGAGTTTCGATGGTAAGCTTTTGTGCACTATAGCGAAATTTCGGGTCCCAAGAAAAGGTGGAAAATGTCTTGTCCAGGTGAGTGAGACTACCGGTGCTAATTAGTACGGTAATAATAAGAATATTATTATTGTTAGTGTTAGTATTAAGTTGCGTTTTCTTATAGAGCCTACATCAATTTCCATTAGCGCTACGATCTTAAAGTGGGCCTAATGTTTAAAATTATGCAAGTTACTATGGAAACGTAGAAACAAAATATGGAAATAAGCGGGCAGTCGTATAAAAGAATTAGTAAGTTTAGTCAATCTTTCAGTTGCGATCAGGAGCCTCCGGAATACGAAGTAGGAATGTCAACTATTACACCACAGTGCCCTCATGTACGATGTTAATTTGGTACTGCAAACGTTAGACGCGCTGCTGTCGGAAAACAAAACAACGTTTTGCTGTATCTCTATGGTATGTTATAAATATTAACAGTCTACCCATCAAGCTAATGCGCCTCGAAACAGACAGAGCTGTGCGGGAAGCGAATTTTAATTCGTGAACTGGTAAATGAGACGTGAAATGTGACAGAAATTTCAGAAATTACCAGAAAGGTGGTTGGACGCTTTTGTCAATAGCTTGACACCCCATAGAGTTTGTGCCTCTATGAATTGTCGTAACACGACGGAGTGTAGGGAGTGTGGGGTTAAGAAAATATTTGCTTTCATAATTTTGTTCCTCGGAAATTATTATCTTTTAATAATAAAGTGGATCTCTCAAAACTTTTATTGCACACGTGAAAATTAACACCAAATTGTCTGCGTGGAAAATGAAGTTATAAATTCCGCGCTCTTAAAACACCCGTCACGTAGGCTTAAGATACATTTGTTTTTGAAGGCAACTGTCTTACGTAAACATGTAACAGTGATTTCTTTTTAAGGAACATCTTCTGAACCACAACCGCTCACAGCTTCATTTTTTGTCATTTATTTCTTAAGCCCCCCACCCGTACGTCAATCCACCCACATGTCCACTCATCCTTCTGTTACATCCATCTATCCAACCTTCAGCGCATTCTTGTACCTACCTATCCTTCCCCATGAATTAATCCACATGCTTCCATCTATTAATTCCCTTAACGAGTTATCAGTCCAATCGATTCATCCACCAATCCATTCATTAATGCATCTGTCCAATCGCCCTCCCCCCCATCTATCCAGTCGACATTCTGCTACTACATCAATTCATTCGCCCAACAGAATATTCTTGAATCTCTTCATTCGTCAGTCAATGCATTCAGCAATTCAGCTACGTACTTAAAGCCACAGTCACAAGAGGCTTCTGTTTCACGAGGTGGGAAAAGTGCTACACCATCCCGGCACTGTACGCCTCACATTATTCTTGCTACATTAAGGATAAGGTGTTCGTTTTTCCTAATAACATAGAAATGATTTGACACAACAGGAAAACTAAAGCAGCGAGCCTTGCTAGATCCCAACAGCCGTCTCGACACGAGGCAGCGGATGTCGGTTGAACCTTGCATAGCAATGTTACAGAGCGGAAAATTAAAGAAATGGCCGCGAGGTTCCCTGCGAACGTGAATAGAGCACAGCACTTGTCAGGGTGATATGAGAAAAGAAGAGTGACGCTGAAGCAATGGCTTGTGACAACGTCTTTGTGTTACTCGCTTTGAGCGGCAGTAAATAGGCTTGTTGGGACGCATTATCCTTGTGTTCTACAGTTTCAGGGCTTCAAATGAACAGTTCCTTCATATCAAGCTGCATCTGTCTGTCCCTGGATTCAGGAACATACATAAATATCATAAGCTAATTCGAATTAAATTCGGCATGCCATTGCAGTTCTTGAAACCGTAGCAGACTACATCCCGGCCGTGCGTTTTTGAGCTCAGAACATGATTAGCTGAAGTTCTGTGGGGTGTCAGCTTTTAAATATGTGTGACTCATATTAAGACATACAAGGCCTAGGTACTGACAGAATCTAAAACAACGTGTGGCTGTGTGCTGGATTAAATGGTTTAAGATGGCTCCCCATCGACGGTATTAATGAACTTTCGGGTTCCACACAAAACGGGGAACTTCTTGACTACTTGAACATTTATCATCTTTCCAAAAAGGACTTTGCTTCACATAGTTGAAATTAATGTCAGGGCCTTTAAAACAGATTCTTTATTTTTATCTAAACATTATCTCAGAAACACATTTTCTCTTTCAAGTAGATCAATGTATTTTTATGAAGATCTGAATCGATGACCCTGAAAATACAATTTTGTTATCACATACGAGTGTGGAATAATGATTACTATTTTGCATTTAGTCAGTCAGCTGATCAGTCAGATATCCACTTAGTTTGTAAATTAGCCAGTTGTTCAGACAATTAGCCAGTTAGTCATTTAATCAGCAAGTGAACGCCGAAATCAGTCCGCCAGGCTTCCGAGTGTCGGCAGGACAGCGACAGCAGGTATTACGGGTCTATCACAGAGGGATACACGCACGAAACAAATTCCAGTTTGATTGAACTCACAGAACTCTGTGCTGTAGAATAATTAGGTAAGGGACAAGTGCAAATTGTTTAGTGCAGCAAATCCTCTGTATGTAAGCTGCGGATATTTTGGTTTTGTAACAATAATTACCCCATACGCTGAGGAAATTTCAATCTTGTAACCTTGTTTCGTCCGGACATACTTCAGAAAGTGAAGAGACATCGTACGTTCTGGGTATTTCAATACAGTATTTGCATTAAATGCATACAATTAAAAATATGTAAGATCATGTTTGAATGTCTGGGCAATTCGACCACCTGCACAGTGTGAAATTAAAGAAAAGTTGTAAGGATTTATACGAAGATGCAACAACATACCAATATAAACAACAACCTACATGTAAGGTTCGTGCAAATGGACGAACGTAATGGAATATTCACTTACGTAAGAACTCCTGGTTCTACTAGCTGTCTGTTCGATTCTTGTCTGAAATACGAAGTTTCCATGAGAGGGAGAAATTTCTCGAACAGGTGCATAGCTATCGACTGCTCGAGTAATTACGGTTGGGTTACATGTAGGCTTACGAAGTTCATTGGTACACCGTTTTTATGGCTTATGCAACGAAACTGTCAGTAGTTCATTCCGTCGAATAACAGGATGAATAATGAATTGGAAAGGATGTAGAAGAAGTCGTGACCTAATTACGGCTCTATCTTGGCATTTGCCTGGAGGGAATTAAAACACCACGAGAAACCTCAGATGTTATAGCAGGAAGTTGTTATGTGCAAGAATGCTAACCACTGTACAGCTTCGTTTTTAAGCTGCGTAGTTAGTGATGTAGTAAGTAGATAGTTATGGAATGGATGGGTGGATTTGCGTATATGGTGAACTACGTACAAAGTTAGATTATTAGTCTGGTAGATAGTTAATCAATTACGTATTTATACTTACATAAGTAGTAATTTCTTAAGACAATTCTTTACTTTTTTAAGAAACTAGACAATAATAAGGAGGCTAAGTTCATAGCTGAAGTAATGATCACTGATATATGACAACAACAGCAGTAGCAGCGATAATATTGAGCTGATTGGCACTGAAGGTTCGCGGCCCACTGGTGCACACCGCGGCAAGTGAGGTAGTCGGACAGGGATGGAGTGCAGTCGGAAGAATCTGCCACTTTCCAATTCTGAGGCGATCGGTTGGAAGAAGAGAAAAAGCTGGGGACCTCTGAGGGTCGATTCCATTATGCTTAAACCCCGGACTGATTGATGTCTCACTTCGGAGGTAGTTTGCTGTCTCATTTGCCACTTTACGACAACTCTGAATGCCTGGGATCTGGACCCCGTTGTGACAATTCTAGCATGCCCATTTCGAATCTTGGCCAGAAAACCTATTAAATTTCATAGATTCTTCCGAATTAAAGTATGTAAACACGGACAAAACATCGTGGTATAATGACTGTAATGCCAACTTCGTATGGGTTCAAATTTCGGTCCAGAGATCATGACGATCCTGAATGATGTGCCTGTATTTTTTTTAAAACTACAGCTGAATTCTGAGATTGTGCTTCAAAAGAGGTTACAGCCACTTTATTTACATTTCGTCATCCACTGTTCGACGGTGTCATGGTAAAAGGTTGTAAGTACGAAACCTAAACTGCTTTAGATGCTACATTTCATATCACATGTAATTTAGAAAAAGTAACACTTTAGCCTTACGTCAACTTGTAAATTGTACTACCATATTTGTATATTTTTTGTATAAAAATCAACATTTTAATTGAAATAACTTTCCGAAACTGCTTTTCTTT